AAATTTGGAATTTGAAGAGATTTTGATTATTCATGATCATGCGAATGCTTTGAACAACAAATCTATGTTGTGTATCAATTTATAATTCAAAATTAACTTCAATTTGCCTTTGAAGCATGAGCTTTTAACGCTTCGATGGGAAAAATCCGAGTCTACATGAGAAAAGGGTTTAAGCCAGAACAGGGTGGCCACTAAATCTCCAAAAAACTACTCTTTCCAATAGTACCATAAATGCTTACAGAAATTTATCAGTAACATTTCCTACAAAACCACGCATGATTCGTGCTCGAGCAATGGGAAATCGAAATGGGGAACGATGGAAGAGGAGAGGGGGGGGGGGGGGGCTGAGCCACATCTTGAAAGTGGGATTCTATTTAGACAGCTCAGGCTTATGGAGTTGTAAAACGGCTTTTTGCTTGCAAGTAAATAAACTCTTTGAACCTAAAAATTTAAGGTCTGTGACAGCAAATTCTTTAGTTGGATTCCAAAAATTTTTTCAGCCCTTCCTCCCCCTTTCTGCAAGATACCTCTGCGCTCCCACTGTTGCTAGGCTACGTGCTGGACAAAAAGCAACTCCGGGAAAGCGGTTTGAGTCCAGGAGTTTGGGTAAACCCATCAAAAGAAAAGTACACGATTCACAAGTTATCGCCTACGCTTAACGGATTTTGGATTATACGAAATAGAGGTTCCTACATACCCTGCATATCCGATAGAACTAGTACGGCGGTGGAGCAGTGGCATACCGAAAACTGAGACTCGATGATATCATGCTTAGAAAGTTTTTTGACAATAACACCAAAAATCAGCGCGTGACGAATAAACGCGTTTGAAAATGCATTGTTTGTTCTTACGTAATAGGCAACTGGGTACTGTCAAGTACAATGCATGAGTTGTGACGATGTCTGAAGAAGGGTAGGCTTTACAACAATGTCCAGCGAGCATTTTGAGCAGATTTGAGGTGAGGAATATGAGTTCAGAGGGCCCCAGTTTGGTAAATTCATTCACGAAGGATAGAAAGTATGGAACTTCTACCGATAATTGCCTTCCTGAGGATTTGACGGATCTAGCAAATGCTGAGTGAAACTCGGTGTTGTTCACACTTTGTGCAAGTGCAAGCCTACACTAAAATTTTCCGGTTCAAGGAATAAATTTTAATTTTGCACATTTGAGAAAAATAAAAGTGTGAGAGCTCAGAAATGAATCTGATTACGCGCCGTGACTTTGCAAGACTAAGAAGTAGAACTAAAAGATCTTGCAAGCATAATCTAAGCAACTCAAATTATTAGCTCTTCGTGGTTATGGGTTCTAGTCGCTGGTCATCTGTGCAATTTTTATTGGCAGTTCGTGAATAACCTTCTTGATTTTCTTGTTTTCGGTATTTGATATGCTGATTTGAATTTGTGCTTCCTAATTCATTGAATTGTAAAGTTACTGACTGAATGAGGTAGTCGCTATATGAAGGGATTCCCAGAGAATGACCGTTCTTTCCAAGAACTTCCCCCTTCCCCGGAGTACAAACCCTCAAACTGTTACTTTTGAAAAGCCAGTCAAGGTTGAGATTAACGGGGTTTAGTGCCATAAAGCACTCTAGCTTCTAATCTATCAAATGCCTTTAGCTTTTAGCCCTAAGCTTCTACTTCTAGAGGCAACTTGGATATTTTTATATCCGAAGCCAATTCGAGATCAGCGAATCCAAAAGGCCCAAAATCGAGACTGTGGGATTGCAAATGTGCTCGCAAAGCATCCTTTATTCAAACGAGAGTTCACTTTTAAGCATTAAACCGCTTAACTTATTTTTCCAATTATCCCATATATAGAGTCCAGTGGCGGTCCCAGGATTTCGGATCGTGAGGGGGGGGGGGAGCGCGACAAATTTTTTTCTGAGTGAAGGTGCGTGGCGCTAGCCATGCACTCCGAAAAATTTTTTGGGATGCTTCCCAAAATTTTTGTGAGCTCATGACCCAAAAATCTTAGGAAAAAGGGAGCGTGGCAGTAGCCACGCAATCAAAAAAAATTTTTTTACAAGGCTAATTTGACTTTAAAAGACAAAAATTATTTTAGTCATTTACAAGTATTATATAAACAAGTCACTTGCACATTTCTATAATCCTTATAAATAACTTTCAAAAATTTTTCGTTCTTGGGGGGGGGGGGAAGGGGGTTGGAGGAGCCCCCTCCCCTCTCCTCGCACCGCCACTGGTAGAGACGTATACGAAGTCACAGAATCAAAGAACCTGCAAAAAATGTAGCCGCACACTCGCCACACAAAGCCCACTAGGACCAATCTATCAATTGCTTATTAGCTTAGAATTATCTATTCTGCTGAGTATTAATCAGGCAAAAAAACCAAAACCAAGGAACACTTGAACTTATAATGCGCTCAGCTGAGTGAAATGTCTTCCTCTTCTAAAAACTAATCATCTTGACAACCCGTTTCACCACTTCCAGGAGACTTAGCAATCATGACTGGAGAAGCAAAGCGTTGAAAGGGTGTTATCATATCAATACTGAGTCAATAAAGCTGCTTTGTTGTAATCTACCTACACCTATATAAAGCTGAGTGTTGGTAAATTGTTAGTTAGTGTGTTCATTATAGAAATTTTTGTGTGTGGAGACCGATTAGCGCCAAACTTTGCACACGTATGTTTTCGACAATGGCCTTCCCCGTGGGCTACTTTTCGCGGCAAAATTCCCATTCCTTCTATTGATTTATCGGTTTTGAATAAAAATGAAGTCATACCAGCTACTATTAAAACACCACCAACTTCCTTGTAAACTGTAGTGATAAAACCCATATTCATTTCACCGTGCGGGGATGCAATGCTTTGAAGCCATACGGTTAGGAGCTGTCCTCCCGTGTTATATGAGTAACAGAAGAAAAAAGGATTGCAAGTAAGTTGAGCTTTTGAAGTCGCGCATCAGTTTTGCCCTTTGCTGAGCCACATAGATCCACGATGCCGGGCATGCCATGGTAAAAGAATAATCTTGCAAATTTGGAACTCCATGAAAAAAAAACTACGAAGCAAGATGACACTTCACAATAATCACAGAATAAAATGATTGGTGCAGCGTCTCCTACTCTAAAGCTTCAAAAGCTTAGTCAAAATTAGTCACACTTGGCGATCTCCATAGAAAGCTTGTTAGTTTTTATTTACATGAAGAGTGTGCCAAAGTGGATTCAGAGAAAAATTGCCATGATGTCATTGCAGGGTGGCGAGCAAGAGGAACGATAGTTGTCTGGTGTCAATAATTAGCGCATCTCTTGCTCTCATTCCTGACCACCCATGAGCGGAAATTTGATGCATCTCCTTGTTCTAAGCTTTTAGTTGAACTGAATCTTCTTAACTTAAAAATAAGTATCTCAAATAAGTTGAAATCAGCGAAAAATGTTTCAAAACTAAAACTCCGAGTATTTCACACCTCCTTACAGTGGAAATTTTGATATTCCTAGCCATGATGCCTTGTTTCTTTGACTTCGAACATATGATTTTGTTTTGGAACAATGTCAAACTTTAAGGTATTTGCTGTTCAGAAGGCTGTTCTGGTTTTGCAATCGGACGAACAGGATATAGAATTCTCAAAATGCACCTCCAATGATGAGATCGAAGTGTTGCTGTGAAGCTTTCAATGAAGATTCGCTTCCCTTGTGAATTCTTGAAGAAAAAAGTTACAGCATGGGTAATTCAGCAATTTGAATCAGCTGCAAGAGTGTTAAGGCAAATCTTGAAGATAAAATAAGAAATTTGTATCAATTAAAAATTTACATATAGCTTACTGTGTTGTTTTTCTATTTTTTAGGACAAACGAATATTAGAAAACCCAAAATCATTTAGGATTATATAAAGCTTCTTTCACATTTATTTGTAAGCATCCAAAGAATTGAAGGTATAAGAAGGAACGAATAACTGCTGCTCTAACATATACGTGAGGAAAGCTTTCATGATGTCATGCTGTGGGCATTGCGGAGTAGGCTGAAAAAGTGTGCTCTGTGAATGGAATTGATAAAAGCGAAGTACAAAAAGAAGGGAAACGAAGGAGAGAAGGACTAACATTAAAACTGATTTGATTGCGGCTATCCTACTTAACAATGTTTACAGCTTCTGTGTCTAAAGTTGTGTTTACCCAAACTGGCACGGTATTGGCACTTAGAAAAATAAGCTCAGCTCGATTCTATTTTGGATTTCGAGATTAAAGGAAGCTAATTCAACAGCATGATTCTTACGAAATTTCTAGGATTGCCAGTATTAAATGTGTCATTATCAGAAATTGAGGCAAGGAGTTATAAGGGAACTATCCATTCAGTTAACATTGCGCTTAATAACCTGAGACTGTTAGAGTGAACAGGAGAACCTATTCAGTCTTTGACATATCTAACTCAAATGGTCGAAGTTGATTCAACGAAACAAATTAAAATATTATCGTTTATGAACGTGATAACAAATTATGAGAAAATCATCTCAACTTTACTTAAGAAATCTGTATCAGTTGACTTAGTGAAGCAGTATAAACTTCATTATTCTGGAATCAGGAAGGAGGACGACATTCATACAAAACAACTATAGAGGATAAAATAGATTTGAGGACATTTCGAGAACTTTCTCGATATAGTATTGACTTAAAATCCGCAATGGTTTCAAGAAATTCTTCTCACGCTTTCAAGATTTTCTCTGAAGTTGCCTGTGGTTAACAACAACATGATAAAAAACGACCACATACTACGATACTTTGAAATAGGTAGCTGAGAGATTACGTAAAAGTGCAAACCGGTAGGTGGCTGTCTGAGATCAACCGTATTGCAGTTTTTATTAAAATGTCTTTTTACTTGGGTTCCGTTCGGCCAATCTTACATTGAAAGTTGTGAGTCACACACAAAGTTAAAAAAACTTTGGCTAGTTTCTAAAAAATATAGGTGGTCCTCAATACTTATAAAGTGACACTTACATTCGGATAGCACTAAAAATTCATTACAAAATATTTCACATAGAATATAGCAAACTCACCCTTGCGATTCTGCCCTTTCCTGAAATAAAACTTTTCTAGGTTTAGTACGCAAAGAGTGTATCACTTATTACATCCATACAGAACTGACCTTCTCTTCGTATTGCTGGCGAAAACTTTCCGCGTGCAACCTCATACTGCTCTGATGAATGGAATGATGCCAAAAAGAAGTGCGATATTACCTGAAAAATAAGTTTATATCTTACATAGGCTGTTTTTTGAATCAGAATTCGGAGCGGGGCGCTCACCATCCTTAAAGGCAGTGTCCCGGCAGATTCGGGTCCTGGGGGATATACGTGTGGTGGGTTCCTGGTCACCCCATCGCCTCCCATGCGCACTCCGGCTGGGTGATGTTCCCCCTGGGCGGAGAAAATGGCCCTTGAAGCGGCGCGCGCAACCCCAACCGGCGCGCGCTTAGACGGCCTTCTCAGACAGTGGGACCGGACGATCCGCGGCCCATTTCCGGCTGGAATTTCGCAGCGTCCGCGGGCCAGCCGGTGAATGGTCCGCGGCTCGGCCGGAGAAGGGCCTCGGCTCGTCCGCTTTTGGGCCGCGGCTCAGCCGGAGCTGGTTGTCGGGCCGTCTAGTTCATTCAGCTCGGATACAGTAGAACTGTTTTTTTATTCACTGGCACTTAGAATTACACAGTAAAAAAACAAAAATTGAAGCCACCTATATAGCGGCTTCGGGTACCAAGTCCGACTTCAACTTTGGACAACACAAGGTGCTATCCAAGGATGTACAACATATTGATCTTGTTTCCGCCTTGGAGACTGGAAGGACATCGAAGGCTATGGACAATGAGGGCAGCCTGATCATGCGTCGTACATCACGCAAGTATTCGTTATGCTCAGATTCTGGGAGCGGCCGAGCCGCGGACCTTATCTGATATGGGCCGCGGCTCGGCCGGAGTTTCATTATAAAGATTTTGGTCCGCGGCTCAGCCGGTGCAATGCTCCATCCCCATCATTAAGGCCGCGGCTGAGCCGGTGAGCCATATCCAGTCCGCGGCTCGGCCGGTGCAATGATAGTGACATGAATTAAGGTCCGCGGCTCGGCCGCACTCCGGCCACGCCCACAAATTAAGGCCGCGGACGGACCGGAAAGGCCTTTTGAGGCCGCGGCTCGGCCGGTTCCAGTGTCTGAGTTCCCCGCCTGTTCGGCGCGGGACCCCACGAGCGCTCTCCCCAATGATGCATGCTATCCAAAGCAAGAATTACAGGCGGCAGGATCTTCTTCTGAGGACCTCCTCCAACTTTCCATCAAAAATCTCGTCCAAGCTGCTTTTCTGGAATTAGGAAAACGCCCCAAAATCGGCCTTTTCAGCCCGTTCAAAGCTCAAATTCGGATTCTACGTGGCGAAAAGGCCTAAAACATGCAAAAAGGTGGAGGTGCAAAATCTGCCAGGACACTGCCTTTAATGAGCAATAGAGTGCAGAAGTTACTTTCGGGGTAAGAATGAATTCAGTCGGCGGCATGTATCACCAGAGTTCAATTTTTTCTTATTGTTAGAGAAATTCGAAAAAATATGATAAGGTCACACAGTTTATTGTTATCATATCAAACACCACAATCGCAACAAAATTCAGAAGATATCCAAGCGAATAAAAAATTTATCAATGGTTTTTCCTATAACCAGCCATGCTAGATTGTCTAAGCATACGAACTCAGTTCTCGATATTTTGGTGGTAAAGGCGAGCATCAAATTCTCATTGAAGATCTACTATTGCGTTTGCAAAAAATCTCCAAAAAATTGTAGCTTTTTTTTCGTGAAGATTTGCTGCCATTTTTTCTCATGGTTAATACTTCAGCTATTGAACACTAACAATGAAAAACGCTTGCGAAGGTAAAAGTAAGAAAATTAGGTTACTTGAGTCGAGGTGATTTTGTAAAGATCAAAAATCTAAAAAGCTACAATATTCAAAAAGTGAACTGGGAAAAGGAAATCACTTCAGGTTCGGAATTTTGAGGCAAAAGTCAAAAAACAAAAACGGTGCCATAAAATCCATAACAGCCAGTATCCCACATTTTCTGACTTCCTCTTTCTAGTTGAACGAATTTCGCGCTGTTCTTTGAAAATTTTTGATTTTTTAAAAATAAAGAAAATCAATTTTCTTGAGAAGATTTTTTGGCATTTTTCTCGAAAATAATAACTTTTTTATTAGGTTGATGCAAAAATGATGGCCGTTTTGCAAATTTCCATTTTGACGTGCTATAACTTCCTAATAAATCCGTATTTTTGAACTGTTTAGAGAAAATCTTTCGCAGTACAGCGCACACTAACTCATACTCACAACATAATCGGGAAGAAAAATACGGACTAAAAGACAATAAAGTTTTTTTGAAACCTTGTTTTTGACAGTTCATTACTTCCTTCAAAATTTGTTATTATAAATGACAAGTGGCCTATCTTGAGCCGCAAATCAATAGTACAAAATACGATGATAAGAGTTTAGAGAAAAAATCTGCTAGAAGGAAAAAATCAGAATTTGAAATTGTCAGTTTTTTCAACATCTTTCAGAGCGCCTCAAAACCCCAAATATAGATTTTTCCTATTTCCTGACAAATTCTATTACATACAACGCAAAATTTCCTAAGAAGCGCCGCTCACGCGCTCTCGAATTCTGGCCGGAAAAGTGAATGCAATGAAATTCTGAATTTGGATGCGGTTATTTGAAGCTCAGTAACTTTATAACAGACTAGCTGGCTTACCCGGCTCCGCCGTATCCGGACCAAACTTGGCACACATACACTTCGGGCCCCGGCGGGTGTCACAGTCCACTTTTCGTTATCGATCGATGTCGATTTTACCGATTTTTATCGATTTTTTTGCAGAGTTCACCTACAGGGCTAGGAGTTGGCACAGGGGGGGAAGTGAGCATGGGGATTTCGAATACAATATTAGTTTTCAGGATCGTCCATTACTTTTATCGATTTTATCGATTTTTTTTGTGAAGTTTGACCTGCGGGGCTGGGAGTTTGCACAGGGGGGTAATCGAGCATGCTGATTACGAACACAATATTAGTTTTCAGGATCGTCCATTACTTTTATCGATTTTATCGATTTTTTGAAAATTTGAGCTAGGGGGCTGGAATTTGGCAAGGGGTGTAATCGAGCATGCTGATCACCCCCCTTGGGGGTGATCAGCATGCTCGATTACCCCCCTGTGCCAACTCCCAGCCCCCTAGCTCAAACTTTGCAAAAAAATCGATAAAATCGATAATAGTAATCGATAATCCCGAAAACCAATATTGTATTCGGAATCCCCATGCTCGATTACCCCCCTGTGCGAACTCCCAGCCCCGTAGCTCAAACTTTGCAAAAAAATCGATAAAATCGATAAAAGTAATCGATAATCCTGAAAACCAATATTGTATTCGGAATCCCCATGCTCACTTCCCCCCCTATGCCAACTCCCAGCCCCGTAGGTGAACTCAGCAAAAAAATCGATAAAAATCGATAAAATCGATATCGATCGATGACGAAAAGTAGCCTATGACACCCGCTTCGCCCCGAAGTGTATGTGTGCCAAGTTTGGTCCGGATCGGTTCAGAAATGGAATTTTCTATTCGGAACATACGTACATACAGACAGACATACAGACAGACAAACAGACATTCAGCTTTATATATAAGATGAGGATCAGGGCACGGCATAGGTGGCTTGGCAAGCAAGCTGGATATCGTTTTTGGGGAAAAAGCAAAGGGGATATCGTTTTTGCGGTAGAGCACAACGTTGTCTTTCGGTCTGCGGCCGGCACGCTGCCGGCATGCCGCTAGCAAATAAACAATAGGTTTGTTTACAGCGAAGTGAAGATGAAATGACACCAAAATAGGTGTGTAGATGGGTAATGGGGAGTTAGGACTAAGTATGAAAAATTATGAAAAAATTATGTGAACTAAAGGCGTGCTCAACTTTTTTCGGAGTTAGGTGGCTTTCAAGCCACCTGGATAGCCACCTGAGGTGGCTTAGGAAAGAAAAAGTCATAAATTTTTCCTCCCTCACATAATTTTTCTACTTTCTTTACATACTTTTCATCTACATCCCAAATCCTACAAACTGGTTCCTAAACCGCCTCAAACCCCCTTCTCCCCGCTTAGTTATAGCCCTTGAAAATTTTAAATGGCCGCGGAAAGGCTGCTCTAGGCGCGTATTGCTGCACGATGGATAAATCATGCCGCCATTCCGGAGAATATGAATATCATCGCGTGTGTTCGATGATTCTCTTTCGTTTTTTTTTCTGCTGTTGCTTTGTTTCGTTCCTTTTCATGTATTTTCTCTTCGATTATCTCGTGGCGGATGTCGTAGTTTTATTGAAGTCAAAGGGGACTTCATTTTTTGCAATTTCGGGACGCCACCTCGTGCCGAGCCCTGGTCTAGGGTCAAAGGGGACTTCGTAAAAATTTGCAAAAGTCAAGGGGGACTTCGTTTTTTGCATTTTCAGCTAGCCACCTCGTGCCGAGCCCTGATGAGGATGGAAGCTCTCTTTAGAAATCATTAGATGGAGCATGAGAACAGCTTCTCAATGGTATGCAATATTTATTTCAAAGAAGATATTGATGGAATAAAATGCCCTGAGGAAAGGTTTGGAAAATCGGCCATTGTTTTTGCATCAACCTATTAAAGAAATTAGGTCATTCCGAAAGTATTTCGCTTTTTTCAAACGGGCGCCACATTTGATGGAACAAAGGTTTCTAACAATAAGTGACCTTATAGGCATTCTATGCAGCATTTCATCCTTTTTCTAACGGTTATGAATCTGTTGCAACACAGCCAATGAGCTTTCAGAAGATAATCGAAATCTGCGACCTATGGTTTTTGAGATGGTCAAGTTTCTCAATTTTTCTAAACTTTCGCATAAACCCTCTGAAAAAGTGCAAGTAACGTGTTCATAGGACAAACCCTACAGAAAGCAAAACAACTTTCTTCTCCTTTCCATATCTTGTCATACATTTTTAACAGAATTTCGATGCTACCGATTTCCATTCTTGGACAGCTAAATCCTCACAAAGCATCAAAGGAAGAGCAGCTCGGGCATCATTTGATGCAGCATTTTCTCCTCTCTCTAATGGATGTTTTTTGTTTTCGATTCGTTTAGCTTACGGGGATAAAATCATTATAACTCATTTTTTCAACAAGCCCCCAGGCTGTATCCGAAAAACTCGGGATTTGATATTTCGAAA